GAGAAGGTAGAAAGGGGAAGAGTGTAATTAAATCCTGTCATCAGAGGTCATAAATGTCATGGGTATCAATAAAAGAGGACCTAGGGATCTGGAGGCTCTCCAATGAGTTTTTAAAAAAATAAATAATAAAATAACAAAAAGCCAGAGTCACAATTTTTAATAGGCTGCTTTTATGATTTTGGGCAAACTCTCCGCTTCGTTTGATGCAACTTCTCAGAGATTCATAAAGAAAGCAGCAGTGAAGTTTCACCTCATGCAAATGCCTCAAATGGTAATGAATAAACACGACCAATAAATATGTAGCCAATACGATCTAAAACTGCTAAATTTTTTTTTGTTTGTTTGTTTTATATTTTAGGACAGGGTCTACAGGGTCTAGAGGGTCTCACTGTGTAGATCGGACTTGTAGTAATCCTCATGTTTACAGCCTCCCAAGTGCTGGGATTACAGGCGTGCACCACCACACCCAGTCTCAATCACTGTCTCAGCACATCCCAGGGATGGGGTGGGGGCAGCCCAGCAGGCCTGGGGATGGAACTCCCCACCCCAGTACCTGCCTAAGCAGGCGCTTTAATCCGCTGAGCTATTTGGCTGGCCCTAAAACTGCTAGATGTGTAAGAAGCAATCTTTGTACATATGAACAATCTTTCATGAGGTGATTTCACATTGGAGGAGTCTTGGGAGAAAATACCACTGAAAACATAAACCGAGTTTTATTTTTTGCACTTTTTATTGAAAAGATACATTTAAAAAAATACACAGACATTTTACCATTTACAGATTGCAGATATAGATACTCTAAGAGAGATCACTCCACTCTGTGTTGTACGATGCTGCTTGCCCCTGACACCACAAGCATTCCAGTCTTGATGACATCAGCTTAGAAAGGGGGGCAGGGGAGCTTGACCTGCAACAGGGTCCGTGAACAGAAAGACAAATTGTTCAATTATAAACTTTATATCTTCTGTACATTATTGCATTAGGGAGCCACAACATTATGTAGCATCATTACAAATGAAAACAGGTTAAAAATGGAGATAATTATGTAGAAATATACGGATTCATTGTCTTCTCGCGGAATGCACAGGGGTGCAAAAATGTGCAGCTGAAGAAGCTCTTTCTCAGTTTGTATACATTTGCTTAGCAACTCAAACTGGTGAGGAGGCTACAAAATAAGTTAAACAAAAATGGCGAAAAGGTAATTATAGCTATGTTATATGGCTTTCTATTTTGTTTAAATATCTCCAAATAAAATGTGAAATAAAGAAATACATTATCTTTTGTTCTCTTAAAGAGAAAATTCAAAGCTACTTTGCTTCGTAACATTTACACAGCAACTAAAAATGTTGAGTTCAGACAAGAGATACGATCTAGTACTACACAGGATACAACAGTACTTGGGTCTAGAACAGTACACAATCCCTGTCAACAATAGTACACCAGAAAGAAAGCATCATGATTCATTGTAAGATGGTTTCCACAAGTAAGCACTTGCGTTCTATGTCGTTGCACGCTAGAATATGCCCAGTTGGATTCCAGAGTTATTTACAGACATCTGAGGAAGATCCTAGTTTTCAAGTCTGTCAGGACAGTATTCCATATTCTCTAAGCCAGATCACACCCATGGGAAAATATAGATTGATTTTCTTTTCTTTTTCTTTTTTCTAATACATTTTCAAGAAGCCAGATAGCTCAGATACACCAATTGCATGAGATCGGGGAGAGAGGACTGAGGGGAGAAAGCCTACGCTGCCCACGTCCCTAAGTCACAGGGGCAATCCATTAAAGCGCTCTTGAATCTAGCGATTTTTTTTCCTTTGGAGCTGGACTTTGGTGGGTTGAGAAGGCAGGCTGCACTAGGTGGGTGGATGGGGTAGGTACGGCAACACAAAGTGCTCAAATTGCTGATATCCGTTTGGCTTTTCTTCTCAGCTTCTGCACTGGCCTGGATTGCGGTGGGGCTTGCGCTTGTTAGTAGGGGGCGAAGAGGATGGAGGCTGGGGTGGCACGGATGGGCCCATGGCCTGGCCTCAGCAGAGCTGGAGGGATAGCTGGTGCTTGGAAAAGCGACGCGGATGGCCGGGGCGGGAGTGACAGCGCAGAGGACACAGCCGCCGCTGCTGCCAGGGGAGAGGACAGGAAGGCGGGGGCCAGGGGCTTCATCATATCTTTCTGGAATGCAAGTTTTGCCTAAGGAAAGAAGAAACGCCAGCAGTGCGTTGAGACCATTGTTTTTTTAATAACAGTACTACGGCTATATTTTCATAAGTGAAACATCAATATGAACAAGTCATAAAGTTAAAAATTTTTTGCTTTCAGAAGTAGAGAAATGATTATATTCATAGATCTGGCTTCAGAGGACCTTAGCATAGCTTCACTTTGATTTCGTTCCCTTTCAGCTCTTTTCTGATCTTTGAGCCTGGGTCCTGGGGCCTAGCAACGCTCCCTAAGTAGACACTCACCTACTCAGCAGGAATAAGACATCTCTGGAGGTTCCTGCCTAGGCAGTGGGGCTCAATTCAAAATTGAAACTTATCTTAAACTGGCACATGGCCTAAAAAGCGGTTTTGTTTTTTTGTAAAGCACAATCCTTCCTTTCACTTCTTTTAGATAAAGTGCACTGGGGTTAGGTAGCTGGGGTTTAGGGCATTAGGGACCGCAGAGAGGCAAGAAAACAAAGGCAATTTCTATTTCTCCTACAGCATTCCCTGAGAGATTGCAGCTAAATCAAGTTTCTGTTGCTTAGAATGGTTATAATGGTTAGTAGGCTAGAAAGTTTCTCTATGTAGAGGAATCCCTGGGTAGAATCTTCCTGTGAAGTAAGAAATCAATCTTTTAATTTCTCTCTTTGCAATAAGGAGGAGCTGTATGAGCTGGATTTGCTTGCTGCAGGTACTACCTGCCTTTCAAAGGTAACCTCAGTACTTTGAGAGGCTGGGGCACAAGGATCTTAAGTTCAAATCCAGCCTAGGCAACAAAGCAACTTAGCGAGACCCTGTCTCAAAATTAAAATAATAATAATAATAATAATAATAATAATAATAAAAGGGGCTCCTTGTGAAGGTCTTGGGTTCCATCCCATATACAACACTTAATCAATCAAATGCACAACTTTTCATGACCATTACTCTCCAAGCCCACCTCGAAGCCCACATCCAACACAGCGAGCATGTCCTATAGAGCAGGTGAGCCGATGGGGTGAACTTACTGCTAGAACGCTGGGGCTCCGCTGGAGTTTGTTGTATGGGCTGTATTTTGGCTTCAGTGGTTTCCCTGCAACCCGGTCTTTATGCCTTCGGCTGGAAATGTGCTGGAAAAAGTTGGATGAGTTAGCAGGATCAGCATGCATTTCCCACTCCCGCTCCTCTGCTCTCAGCTCCTCTGTCCACACACGGCCTGCGGAACAGCTTTAGGACTTCTCGGCGAAGACTTGCTAGACGATCCACATGATTGTAACACTTCCATACTTCCACTCTCCGAAGCCCTTCCCAGATTCTGCTTGGTGTCACCCCTGTCACTGCCAAGTCTGTTTCCCTAAGCTGACTTGGGTCCTTAGGGACAGACAGGCTTCTGCTGGATGCAGGTGACTGTTGTGGCCACTCTGCTCTCTCTAACATCCAGCCCAGAACTCAAGGTCTCCGTAGTAGCTGCTGGGATACTGGCGACCGACCTGTCCCCCCCATGAAGCACTTGTATGGTATGAATGCTATAAAGGTTAGAAAACTAAATGGGGAGGACAGTGGAAAACATTCCACAGGTGAGGAGATACAGACAGGATGGCCCTGAACAACACTGCACGCTAACCCAGGACACATTACCTGTTTGAGCTGAATTTCAGAGTTAACGTGAACATCACAGATTTCACAATGAAATGTCTTGTTCTGTAGTCCTGATCCCTTACTGCCATTCTGCATCTTTAATCTTGATCCTGGTCTAGGATAGGACTTAATTGGCCCAGCTCCATTGCGAGCCTCAACCATGGTCTTGTGTTTAGATCCTAAGACAGGAAGGGGCATACGTTACGTGGCTGGTTAGAGCTATAGGAAGGTCTTTGTTATCTTATCTTCGAGAGGTGTGTCTTCAGGCTGAGTTCCCAATGCTTTTTTATGAGTACTTTAGTGCTGATTATGAATTTAATACACTTTCATTGCAAAAAATGAAAAACCATAAGAGTACATATTGTAAAATATAGAAAAATATAAAGAAGCATAAGCAAATAAGGGTTTCCAAAAGCAACCACTGTTAACCATTGTGCAGCCATTTCTTTTTTGCATACTGAAAATACTTCAAAATTGGGGATATGCTGAATAGAGATCTGAAATCTTCAGGTATCAAATCATGTTCATGTTTTCTTATCATTATATTTTATTTTTTAGATTTGTTTATTTTTTAAATGTATTTAGTACAGGGTCTACAGGGTCTTACTACAAAGATGGGACTTGTAGTGATCCTTCCTGTTTTTCAGCCTCCCAAGAGCTGGGATTACATGCACATACCACCATGCCCAGTCTCATTTGCTATCTCAATGCGTCCCAGGGGACAGGACCAGCACAGAAGGCCTGGGGATTGAAAAACCCCTGGCTCCTTTGTCTGCCTAAGCAGTCACTTTAATCCACTGAGCTATCTGGCCAGACCCCTTATCACTGTATTTTAAAGGCTGAGTAACATATTCTATCATATTGGGTCACCATAATTTATTCAATATTTTTCATCTGATGAATTTTTTTTTTTTTTTCATTCATGTATTTGGTGCAGGGTCTCACTATGCAGCTCAGACTCGTAGTGATCCTTCTGTTTTCAGCCTCCCCAGCTCTGGGATTACAGGCATGTGCCACCACACCCAGATGGGGTCACTGGCTCAGCATGCCCTGGGGGCGGGGCTGGTGCAGCATGTGGGAGCTGGGATTGAACTCTGGTCTCTGTGATTGTGAAAGGAGGTGCTTCGTCTACTGAGCCAACTCGCCAGCTCTTGATGGATTTTTAAGTTGTTTTCATTTTTTACCTTTATAAGTATCTGACAATATTGTGCAGAAAGTTTTGTATTCTTCTCTTACCCTTCATCAAAATGAGTTTTGGAAGATATCAGAAACCTTCGAGGAAATAAGCAGAATAAATTTTATGTCCATCCTGCTTTTACTTTGTTGTTCCCAAACTAACTGAGACCATATTTTTCTAAAACACTCTTTTGAAGTGGAAGCATAGAGAAGACATTAAGCAAACAATTTCTGTACAATAGATGTGATATTCTGATGAGAAAAGTTGGGTTTTGTTGTGAAAGTCCCTTAGATTCCAAAGATAGCGGCTAACCTGTATTGTGGGCCTCCAGCTGTGACAGGGAATTCACAGCCACTTTACATAGTGAACAGTAAAGTAATTTTTTGGCTTTTTCTTCTTCTGATTCAACAACAGTGCCGGGAGCTCCATTTGTACTCTTGGAGGGTGAGGTGGCAGCGCCAGGTGGCAGAGCTGTCGTGCTAGACTTGAGGAACAGTGAGCCACCTTCAGAGCCCAATGGCTGACTGGCACAGTTGGCTTTTAGTTTCCCTTTATCTTCTAGGAAAACAAGGAGATATTATTAATGCCTTATATTTTGTAGAAACACAGATAAACTACCACAAAGGAATTAAAATTGAAATTCAGTTTTTATCTCAAATAGAAAGATTGACTTACGTAGCTTTTACCCTAGCACAGATTTTACTTCATGAAAGTTTCAGTCAAACAGCAATAAGTTTCCATATTAGATCACCCCCCAGATGATGACTTGTGAAGAAACAACTTTGTTCTCTTCCTGAAAGCAGGAGGTTTTCTGTCTGTTATGCCTCAGTTACAAGAAATGCTTCAGAGAAGTCTTTAATATATAACCCAGTCAGCTACCTTCATCATGATTCCATCATATGCTGGTAGCATGAAAGAAGTCTCAGCCAACATTAGTTCCATTTGGCTACTCGTGTTTTAATTATGACATGGACAGAAAGTTACATTTTAATTTTTTACACCAACTTTAAAATTTTAGCTTTAGGTTTAGGGGTGGAGGAGAGGGAACAAAGACAGTTCGTTTTTGCTGTGATTAGTCCAGTTTTCACTGCTTTTTGAATGGCAATGCAATATGCCACAAAATGAAAGGGACAAGGGTTATATTCATCATACCTGTTAATTACTGCTAGTGTAAATAAAATGTTTTAAACAATGACATCCACCATGAGCACGACGTGAAGATTAGCCAGATCACCTAAAGGCACCTTGGCATTTTGATCATGTAGATGCTGAGCGTTTATAATCCTCAAGGCCCTTGTGCAGGCTATGAGGGGTCAGAGAGACTTTAGTAGCATCTTGTGCTCACTAGGTATGCAAGGCAGGCTTACTTAGTGACCCTTTTGGGAAAGAAACTGGAGCTTTGTAGGCAACAGCAAAATCCACCCCACGTTTCATTCTAATAGTCTGGTAGAGCCAGTACTCTCAGAGAATATACATAGACATGCTGATCAACTCTTATTAAGAGAAAAGGGAATTAAAACAGAAAATATATTTGTTAGTTGCCTGAGCTAATGCAGAACTACCTGCCATTGGCTTAGATGACCAAGAGGGAAAGAGTGGCCAGAGAATAGCAATGTTGTTTTTCTGTGTTTGTATAACAAGATTCTACATATGAACAACCATGGCTTTCAGCATTCAGAAATGGTGGGACAGGGCTGGCCAGATAGCTCAGCAGATTAAAGCACCTGCTTAGACAGATGCAGGGACCAGGGTTTGATCCCCAGGGTGCGGTGCCAGCCCAGCCCCTGGGGCATGCTGAGATGGTGACTGAGAGTGGGTGTGGTGGCTCAAGCCTGTAATCCTTGTGCTTGGGAGGCTGAAAACAGGAGGATCACTATGAGTCCAATCTGTGTAGTGAGACCCTGTAGACCCTGTACTACATACATAAGCGCACACACACACACATATACACACACACACACACACACACACACACAAAGAAATGGTGGAAGATCATATTTTCAATCATATATTTTTAAAGCCTCACTAATTTGGAGATCAACAATTTCCATAATTTCTTCCTGAGTTCAAGCCAGCCAGACATGTTAAGATTAAATACAATAAAAGTACTACAGAGGGATTCCAGATCTGGGTGTTATTTAGACTAAATGAATGCTGAGATCCTTACTTAGAAGTTCTCCACTCTGTTTCTTTTCAGCAAGTATATTAAAACTGCAGGATGACATGAAGTCTGATGGAAAGGGTCTAGACTTTTATTAAGCTGACCTCAGTAGTATGAGAGACGAAAACAGAACCGTTCTTTCCAATTGGTAATAGTCAGTAAATTAGATTGCAGATTAATTTAGGTTTGGAACTTTTCCATCTGTAAGGATCTCTTGGCTTGAATTTGCTCATACACAATTCATAAAGCAGCAAAATAATTCAGTAATCTTCACATTTGCCCTTTAGGATTATTCCATTTCTTGTGATGGAAATGTAAGTTAGTGCACACAAAAATCTTTCTTCGCTTCCAGCATTTCATTTAATATTTCATATAAATTTAACTGGAAAAATCTGACCTATGTCAGTTATTTACTTACTCATCCTCTCTCATATTACTGCTTTAGTGTTCCTACTATTAATGCTCCTCATATAGCTTCTATTTATAAAGAATTTTACAGTTTACAAAGTGCTTTTCTTGTATTATGATCTCTTAGAGTAAACGTATGGAATAGGTCAGGCTGAAAGTGGTGGTTCTTCTCTTTAAGAGGAGGAAACTGAAGTTCATCAGAATTGAGTAATGTCCTCCGGCTTGGGAGGTGGCAAGTGAACATGATGCTTTCTCTCAGTGACCCCCGTGCACTGCACGAAGCTTCCAGCACAAAGAGGGAGCTTAAGGTGTCATTCCTATTACAAAAGCACACAACGCTCAGCCTAGTCGTGAGACAGCAACTGCTTTGTTTTACCATGCAGTTTAGTTTTTAAGTATATTTGCCTGAAAGGAAAATATTTATCTTGTTCAAAGCCCACTTGATTCAGGTTATATTGAAAAGATGTAGAAATTACCTATTTTCCTCTATAGCTTTAAGAAAAATGAAACAGATCTCCTTTTTATAGCTCCAAATTTATTCACTACGAATGCATATTAACATTATGTTAATGCCAGCAAAGTGCTAGACACTGAAAAGGATGACAGGAAAAGCAGGTACAGACTTTTAAGAAGTTGCAGGTTAGTAGGGGAAATGGGAGTCAGTCCGAGCCGCTCTAAAATGTGCGAAACTAGCGTGAGGATATGCAACAGAACGTGATTACTTGGACTTGGGAAGAAAGGGCCGTTTTTCATTAAGGAAGTGGCATTTTGGAGGTTTTAAAGGTCAGATTTAGATAAGCGCAGAACAGGGGTGGCAAGGAGGGGGAGGTAAATGGTTTCAAGCAGAAAAAGGACACGCTCGAGGCTTAGGAATCTCCAGGCTTTCTCAGGGTACAAGTAGCAGTTGAGCAAAGAACGGGCAACATGGGTAGTGGGAAGTATTACTATAAAAGTCAACTGTGCCACAAGCAGAGAATATCACAGGTCTATTAAAAAAAGCATAGGTATTTCAGTATTTTTTTTTTTTTTAGGTATTTCAGTTTTTAAAACATTGAGAGGTTTAGTATGTTTCATATGATCTCAAATTCAGATAAATTGTCTAATTATCTTCCACCAAATAAATCTGTCTGTCCGTCTGCCTGTCTGTCTATCTATCTATCTCTTTTGTTTTAAAACAGCATAAGAAATGATACAAAATTTCATTAGACAAAGTAATAGAAACTCAACAATGGTTGCTGTATTGTATGATGTTATCTCCAAATTAGTTTAGGTCAGCAAATATAAACCTGCAAAATTGGTTTTAAAAAACAACAGAACAAAACAACACCAAAAAGAAAGTTACCTTGTGATACTGGACATTGAACCCAGGACCTCTTTTTTTTTTTTTTTTATTTTAGGGAAGGGTCTACAGGGTGTTCAGGGTCTCACTACTAGATCCAACTCATAGTGATCCACCTGTTTACAGCCTCCCAAGAGCTGGGATTACAGGGGCGTGTCACCATGCCCAGTCTCAATTGCTATCTCAGCATTCCCCAGGGGTGGGGTCCACATGGCAGGCCTGGGGATTGAACTCCGGCCCCTGCAACTGCTTGCAGGTGTTTTAATCTGCTGAGCTATTTGGCAGGCCCCAAGACTTCTTTACTGAGCTACATCTCCAAAACATTTTATGTTTTTTAAGACAGGGTCTCCCCAGCTCACTAAATTTCCCAGCATGGGCTTGAACTCTTTGACTCTCCTATCTCAGCCTCCCAGTGTTGAGATTACAGGCATGTGCCAAGCATACCCAGAGAGATAGGTTAGAATTCTAATCTTTAACAATATTACAGAAAACTTTTAACTTCAAAAATGCATAAATGAAGTTAACATATTTTAGGGAATCCTATTATTGCATTGATATTAGTTAATCAAAAAAGGAGATTCTAAAGTCAGGCAAGTCATTAACACATTTACATATTAAATCGTGGCATTCTTTCTGGATGTGTAATCTTATAAACTTTAAAGCCTAATTGTGTTATTTCTCCTGTTCATGGTGTGATATTTTGATAAAAATCCACTATATTATTTCTCTTCCCTTATTGGCATTTTTAAAACCTCTTTATTTTGTGTATTTGGAAATTTAATTAACATACTGTTTACTTCTGTTTCTTTTAATAAAGATGCATGTCATCTGGAACTTCTAGTTAATATGAATTCCATTTACAAGTATTCCCTCAACTAATGTTAATTAGCAGGTCTTCTGACTGTCTTAATTATTTCCTGATTATGCAAACACCTTGTTTAAGGTTTTACCCTACAGGACGTTGAAGCAAAATTTGCTTAGCTACATCAAAATTTCCCTTTGTAACAAAAATCCATAATTTATGCAGTCAAGTGAGTATTTTTCTTCAAAGTAGCCTCCATGAGAGGCCCCACATTTTTTCACACATATGAAAACTCTTCTTCTCCAGGCTGTTTTCATATTCAGTTGATACTTCATGTAAATCAGTATTCGCCATTTGTCATCCTTATTCTTACTTCAAAAACTGACCTCAAATTAATCCACCTTCTTTCACAGAGAGCACATTGGCCAAGCAATGGCCATGACTCATCCACATGGCTGACACTGACAAAGGTTCTACAATCTGAGGTACAGGATCTCAGATAAATCCTGAGGGGATTTCACTGACCTTATCAGATCCAAATGCTACAACTCTCTTCGCAAAGGTCCTGCTTTACCTTGGTCTTAATCATCCAGCAGAAAAGTATAAAAACGAAATATAGGAAGTAAAGCCATGGTGTTATGTTGAGCTGTAGGGGACTCAAGTCAACAATTTCTGACATTGCCAGTCAAGCAGAAGACCCAATGCTATTATGGGCTACTGGACTCTCTTAGAATATTTTGCTGAGTTAACACACCTATAATATTCAAATAATGGAACTAAACAATAAAAGGGTATACAGATGAGTGTCCATTTTGTATCTGTGTATTCAAAATGGTTAGGACAGATAT